TAGCCAATAAAGGAAATATTTAGAGGTGTTAACATTTTTTTTTTGGAAGGGGCCTTTATAGTTTCTACCGTAGTATCAGTCAAGATGCAATGAAGAGTTCTGATTTTAACAAATGATTTTTCTGTAAATCATATACTTTAGTTAAGTGATAATCCTTAAAATAATCTATAAGGAATATACTTACATAATTCATCTATAATCTTTTCCTAGCAAAAAGAAATATATAAAAAATATATTAAAAATATATACTTTTTAAGTTGATTTATTTAGAAATAATCAAAGCTCCTTACCTCTTCATATTAAATGCTTATAAAATGTCATAAAGTATTTCTATTTGTAACAGTTGTGGATCTAATTAAAATTCTGATACAGGACAAACTATACTTATTTTGTAAAGAATCTTTAAATGCTTAATATTAGCTTGAGGAGGCATCTAAAATTAGATGTAAAACACATTGCCACTCAATACCTCTTTCTCCAACCTACAAACAGCTTGGTTCATTGTATTAACAAGAAAGATAAAGTTTTAAGAAAATAAATTCTCATCACATGTAATTTTTGTTAAACATGCACTAGCCTCGCAGTTATCCTTTGTTGATGAATCATAGGCCTAATTATATTCTGAGCCCATTCATTCATTTATCTATTAATTCAATCAGTGTGGAAGTTTTTACTCAGCATATGTTTTTAAGTAGTCATGATGTTTAATCATTAGTTATGTCAAAAAAATTCTCTACCTGCTGAGAGTTGTATCTGAGCCCATATCTAAGTAGAGCAAAGGTATTACTCATCCAAATGCTGTGTTTTATTTCTCAAGTAGTTAAAAAAAAGTGATGTGTAAGAATTTTTAATATTGTCTTACTTCCAAAAAATCCAAGAAAGTATCAGACTGTATCCAAACCAGCCTGATCTACCCACTAATTTCTTCTGATCCAGCTTTCCGAACTATCTCAGAATTTTTAGAGTCAAGTTTAGTAGTCACTTTTATGGTAGCTGTGATGCTGTAAAGGAGGACTTTCTCAGAGAGCAGTATGAAGATCACAATGTTGTCACCCATATTTCACCTTCTTTGTTTTCTGAAAGCTACTTCTGTCAGCTACTTCTGTCTTTTAATGACTATGGCTCCATAACACTTAGCAAAAGAATACTCTGGCAAGGAAGTTTTTGTGGGTTCTTACAAATTACAGACAGTGTTTGCCCATTCTTAGAACTGTTGCACTTATAGTTCGTCACCCCTCCCCCCCCCACACACACATACCGCAACACTTATTTACTCTCTATTTTATTTGAGTCTTGTTCATATATTCTATTTGAAGCTCTGTGACATTAGTCACCACATATACTATTATTATTCATCAACATTTATTGAATTATTACTCTTTGCAGGCAGTGTGTTAAGAATTGTACATGAATTATTGCATGTGATATTCATGGCAATTGATAATTACAGTAATGTAAGAGTTGATCAAACTGATATATGCAAAGTGTTTAGATAACTTGTCTAAGGACACATCAATATAAGTGGTAGAATGTAGATATGAGCCCCAGGTCATCTGATTATAAAACTTACACCTTTTACTACTGTGCAGAAAAGAATTAACATATCATGTATGAGACTGCCATCCTTAGAAAGGCCTGCCTGCAAGGCTGGCACCTGGGAACTTGGATTTCAGACGTGTTCCCACCATTCCCTAACTGGTGAGGTGGCTCACTGTGCTTGAACTGTTTCACGATGTGGTTTACGCCAAACATCTGTTTTCCTACCCGGAGTGTGGATCTTTAGGTCATGTGTGACAGAGAATGCCCATGTGACCAGCAACCCAATAGAAACCATAAGCTTCGAGTCTCCAGTGATCTTCCTGGTAGACAACGCTTCACCTGTGTCACAACTAGTTGCTGGATTCAGCTTATCTTCTGTGATTCCATTGGGAGAGGACTCTTGGAAGTTTGCACCTAGTTTCTCCTGGACTTTGACCCATGGGCTTTTGCCATTCCTGACTTTGTTTGGCATCCTTTCGTTGTAACAAATCATAGCCATGAAAAAGACATTGTTGGGTCCTGTGAGCTTTTCTAGTGAATCATCAAACCTGAAAGTTGTCTTGGGGATTCTGAATACAACTACTATAGTATATCTCTTCTAATTTTGAGTTTTGCATGTAGTTATATTTAAACAACTGATTTTTTTTTTTTTGTAAATATTTTTAAAATGTACGACCTATGTATACAGGAGCTGGTCTATTCTTTTGTGCATTGTTATTCTGTTCTGCAAACATGAACTCATAGTGTTTGTTTTATTTCTTTGGTATATGGCATGAGTACATGATAAATGCTGTGAGAAAATGTAGAGAATATGTTATGTAATGAACATTTCATAAAATATATTTGATCAATCTAAAACCATGAATTGGAATTGACTATCAATTTGAGCTACATAAAA